TGTGTGTGTGTGTGTGTGTGTGTGTGTGTGTGTGTGTGTGTGTGTGTATGTGTTACCTGCAATTAGGGCAGTCATGTTATCAGTTTTTTTATTTTAATTTTATTAGACTTCACGATTATTGTGGCCAAAACAATTCACAATAACGATATTATCGCGATATCTATTGAACATTTTAAAATGATGATAATAATTTGTCAAATTCATCCATAAGTTTGTTTATTATGCGTTTTGTCTGTTTATTGGCAAATGAATTACTCACAAAATACGATTATAGGAAGGTTGGAGAGCGTCTGTAACCATAACTGTATATAAAAAGGTATTTCAGAGGTGCTGGATATTGTTTAACAATATTTTCACATGTTTATTATTAACATGATATCAGTATTTCATTTTTAAACATCACTGCAGGTATATTGCGACTCTAATACCTGGAACAGTGCCACCACCAGGTCGGCCACACAGAGGTTGAGCATGAACTGGTGCAGCGGGTTGTTGTGGTGTCGTCTCCGCCTCAGCAACACTACCAGCACCAGCCCGTTACCGAGCAGCGCCATCACCAAGATGACCGTCAGCACCACGACCTCGGCCACAGCCAGAAGAGCATCGCGCTCCCAGTCTGTGACATTCGTAACCGCGGGGGTCACAGAGACCGCTGACCAGCCGGTGGACGGGTGTGAGTCTGTTACCGTTGAGACCGACGTGTTGGCTGGGAGAGGAGGAGAGATGCACGTCAGAAAAGGAGAGTAATAGGACTGTCCTCACTAAAGACAGAACTTCATTGTGATCCTCAAGGAAATGGGATTGTAGTGTGCAGGTGCCAGATGGTAAGCACGCATCCAAGAGGAAGTAAGAATGCAACAATGTGAAAATACTCAATTACAAGAAAAACACATATTTCTGCTACACAAATCTAGATTCATTTTCTAGGCTTGTCTCCAATTTGACCTCTTCAGAAACATGACAAGGAGCCCCAACCAGGTCACGAGCCCAAAAGTTTGGGAAACATTGGTTTAGTATTACATGTTATAAGCATATCATATGTTGTTGTTTTTTTCTATGTAATCTTTATCTTCAAAGTAACCAGTGATTATTATCTGTCGCATGAATGTAGTCGAGTAAAAAGTTCAATATGTACCTCCGAATTGCAGTGAAGTAAAAGTATAAATCTACAATAAATGTAAATACTTAATTACTTCCAAATTGCACTGAATTACATACTTTAGTAAATGTAATTTGCTACTTTCCACCACTGCCTATTTATTTATTGTGTGATAGTTCACCCAATTAGTGAATGAAACAGACATGAGCGTTATTCGGTTCACAGTTTGTTTATAACCAGTCCACTCTGTATGTGTATAGCTGCTTGTTTGTGGTCAGATCTGGTACCACGTCCACTTTATATGACCTCATGCTGCCTGTATACATCCCACAAACACACACACAGCTGAAGTTAATTGGGATGTATCTGCAGGGTCATGAATGCGTGAGCACATTAATTGTAAAACAATGAGAGGTGAAACATGTTTACAGCAGCAGCGCCTTCATACACTGTTACAGTTGAACACACACACAATCGCAGAGGCATGCAGAGAGGGCCCCTCATCTAGGACTATTTACTGAGTGCAAAGGTGCAGGCTCTAATAAGCTGCTCCACTAATCTCGTGATCAACATTACTAACTGACAGTAAGGGGTTTCTACAAAACTGCACGTTCTACAAAACCCGAAAAGTGCAAAGACAAATAAACTCTCTGGGACAAGCACTTTTCTTAAGTAAAATGTGAATTACATTTTGATGGAAATGTATATGTTTCAAATGAGTCTGTGGAAGTCTACGTATAGGGAGAGGGTTGGATGATGAATGGATCAAAGAACACAGGACTTTCACACAGGACAATGCTGTTTGTGTCCCGTGTGAATCAAGTACTTTGTTTTTGTTTTGTTTCACTTTAGTAGTCATTTTTAAGACAAGCCATTATGTTTTTACTAAACCTAATAAATTTGTTTTGTTTTAATTCACAAAGTTAACCATGTGTTTCAAAACGTCTCAAACTGTGACGTAATCCAGGAGAAAATATGCTTCCCTTGAAACGTAAGTGAGAGTGCAGTTTAGTTGTATGTAAACGTAATATGGTAAGAGACAAGGGAATTAGATTATAAATTAAACACGTGATTGAAGATTAAAACAGCAATTCCTACGTGTTTTTGGCTTGTGTGACTCTTTCCCCAAAACCTTTTACGAATTGTGGCGTCCTATGTTGTTTCAGATGACCATGAGCTGTTAAGTTCCAGCAAAGAGACATTTCCCTCTAAACTTTTCACATGGATTCATTTTAAACATGTGTGATGCTTAAAGGTTAAATCATCCGATATGTCCCAGAAGAGAGGTAAAGATTGGAGAAAAGTCCAAAATATGAATATAAATTTGAATATTTTTTTTACATTTTACTGCAGGGCGAGTACTTTTACTGTTAAATATACTGCCGCTAAATACAAGACTGGAAACTGTTAGTACACATTATACACACAGTAGTAAAACATCTTTAAACACTGTTTTGTAAAAAAAAAACATTGTTATTTACAAAATGGCAAACCTCTAAATGTGTAATGATACGTATATTTTCCTTTAAAAACATGAAAATAAAAGCTTTTAGTGGCACCTTTAGAGTGTAGACATTTCAGTTTGAAGGTATGAAACGTATTACTTTCATAGCTGTCCATGCAGCCGGGGATAACACTTAAAAACGGTATGCAGGTGCTTAAAAAGAATCTACTTCAGCCCATAAAGCTGATCCTCATTTCACCTGAGTCACTGGTTTGCCGAGTCTGTTGACATCTTTTGGCTAATGTTAATCCAATTAGAGCACTGGACACCTGCTGTTTAATACTTGTTTTTCTTTTCACAAAACAAAAAGCTCAAATCAATCCTCTGAGTATTTATCTTTACCGGTCTTGTCTAGATTATTCCTCTCAGAAATGATCTTCTGTCAACTTTAACAGATTAATTCTCACTCTAAACACGAAAATAAACATCCATCTGTCACCTCTACAGCCTCATTAAAACAGACACTTTTTTTGTGCCAATTTTAATTTCCCATTTCAGCAGAAAACAGAGAGAGAGGAGGAAGCACAAGCAAACATAGACGACTCACTCATCTCGTCCTCGCCCTCAGCGTCCCGTGAAGCATCTGTAGGATCCAGGACAACCTGATCTGCTGTTGCACACACTAAGCGCATCCATGCTGTGTTTCCCTCTTGCTTATTACTCCGAGGGTGACCTCTGCCAACTCACGCTGCTGACTCCTGTCTCCCCATCTCCTCCCTTCTTCCTCCCTCCTCTTTTTAACACATCTCTCCCGCTCCTCGCCTCTCTTGAATTTAAAGCAGGAGTCAAATGAGGAGTGGGGTCCTCGGTGGGTTGATCAAAGCACATGATGCCCAGGCTGCAGCGGTGAATTAATGTAATTTCCTGCTGATTGTTTAGATATAAACCACGTTGCTGTTGGCCCTGCTTTGATCCACATTCAGTGCCGGACAGAAGTGCACACAAGGTCTGTCTACCATCAGATCAAATGAGATTTCTGTTATTAGACTCCCAGAATGATCAAAGACCTTTCATACAAACATTCAACTGATACGTGTGATTTTTCAGATAGAGAGGGAGGAGAGATGGCATCAGATGTTGTGACAGATGGGATGTTAGGTTCATGGAGAGAAATGAGAAGGAAGCAACAAGAGAGTTGCCCTTTTCTCACCCCTGCTCCTTGGCCCCCCCCCCCCCCCCCTCTGTCTCCTGCATTCCACCTCTGTTTCTGCAGTAATCTGTTTGCCTACCCCAATTGCTCCCTCATTGGGAGAAGCCTCTAATTATCGAGGGGCCCGCTGAGCGACTTTAAACATACACACAATAACATGAACACACACTCACATATGAGGCTGCTCAAGCTCTTCATATTTTGATATTATTATGAAACTGAAGTCTTATGTTTGTGGAAAGCTCTGTAGGTGGGCTTTAACTCCAGTAGAGATGTTTCCCCAGAATTGTTTCTGAAAATATAGAAACGCATAACAGTATCATGAAAAAGATTAAATGAAAAAAAAGTCCTGGATAAATGTTTGTTATTGTCTAACAAATCTCATGAAAAGTCTAAAACCGACAGTGTCAGTGCGTCTCTGAATGAAGAAGTGAATCTAGTAAATAATGCATTTGTTGTTCTTTTCAGCAGTGGATTAACATAAATTGCAGAATACCTTCATTTGGGTTGTATTACAGTAAACTCACTTGGTATTTTTTTCAAAAGAAATATAAGATTTATCTTTTTTATCTGCCTTCTGTGTGGGGTAATCCCACTTTTTCAACTCTTAAATTTTGTTTTTTGCCTTTCATTTCATTCTTCCTGTTGGATTTATTCAGTGCTAGAAGAAGTTTTCATAACTTTTGCTTGAATTATAATACCACTATTACTACTTCTACTACTACTACTAATAATAATCATAATAGGTTTATTTATATAGAACCTTTGAAGAGCAGATGTCACAAAGTGCTTCATAGATATCAAGCTGAAAGCATGGAAGAAACTAAACAGAAGCAATTCTAAATGAATGGGTCTTAAACTGCTTTTTAAAAGTGTACACAGCGTCCATTAATCTTAATTTCAATGAGAGACAGTTTAGGAGCTACCACCTCAAAAGCACAGTCTCCTTTCTTCTTGATCTTGGCGCCAAGAACAACCGACAAACCCTGATCTGAGGACCTCAGAGACCTGCTGCTGATGTAAAGCTGCAGTAGCTCTTTAATGTCGGCGGGTGTCTGACCATGCACGGCTCTAAACGGGATCACAAGTATTAAGAACTGAATTCTAAATTTAACCGGAAGTCAGTGTAAAGAAAACTAAATGAGAGTCACATGAATGTTGCAATGTTCCTCAGCTGGTAGAAACAGGAGCAAGACAAACAGTTTGCACTCAAAATCCATACTCAGCCAATGAAAGAGCAGACTGCTCCTTTACAGCACAGCAGATACCTGACACCTGTAAGGGAGTGGATGTTGCACAGCAGAAGAGAGGGAGATAATTCCTGACACCTTGAGAGAGAAGACAGACACATTGTAGGGAAGAGTGGCATGACTTAGAAGTGAGTGTTAATCCATTTAGATTCTCATCTATTTTGAGTCATAGCACGGTTTTAGTGGAGTTAAAAATCCCTGAATTAGGACAATGAACCTTAAACATTAACCTGGACGTATGGGCAGAAATATGTGTCACTAAAAACCGCATGTGAGTTGTTTATATTTGAATTGCTCATCTTGAATAATTGCAATAAAAACTGAATTTTAATTGCATAATTTGAATATATATATTTTTAACTTGAATAAGTACATTACTCTTTCACAGAATAGGTTTTTGCGTCACATTCTTAATCAGAACTAAACTAGAATAAATGTAATTATCACCTTATTCACCTTATTATGCAATAATCTGCAAAAGACCTTAAACTTTCACTCTCTACCGTCTCAAAGGGTTTCAAATCTCTAAGAAGGATATATCCATTTTATTCTATTTCTACACTTCATTGTATTATCTATTTTACTTTATTATCTTCTCCAAAGCATGTTTATTATCCTGTTTTTTTACTTTTAGCTTTCATACATTGTTTTTATTTTTAGCAATTTTTTGGTTTTTTGAGGTTAAATAAAAATATGGTGTAAACAGTACAGCAATCTGACGGTTTTAAAGGTTGTGTAGTGTGAACTTGGCTTAACGTGTTGGGTTAGTCCTCTTTGTTTAGCTCACCACAACAGCTTCTGCCTTCAAATTGTGTTCCATTATCAATTATCAGAGAAAAAAAGTCGACAGCTTGGCTGCGGCCAAATAGTTGTCATCGTGGAGATTTTTGTTCTTAGAAGTCTGTTAAGTTTACGATCATACTTGAAACAACCTAACCTTAACAGGTAATGTTCAATTGTTCTTTCAGCAAATACACTCGAACTGATTTTGAAAGGCAGGTAAATATTTTAACAATAAACATCAGTTTTCAGCGGTCACATTCTGGAACTTGTGTGGAGCACAACTACTACTCTTAAAACATTTCACTCAGTCACAACAAACTGAATGTAGGGATTACACAAGACAATGTGGCCTCCCTGTGGCCGAGACAAGCCAATGCTGCACGCATTAATATATGTTTGTATCTGCACAGACAATTCAGAAAACAAACTACGGGGACGTGGGTTTTATTAGCTCGAGTAACTTTATGAATGCCCAATACATTCAGTAGTAAGACGTCTGTGTTTCACTAGACAGTGTTTGGTTGGAAAATAAGTTAAATGCATGAAGAATATCTGATTTCACGTCATAATTAATACATGAAACCAACTTCTAAACATGGAAATGATTGGGTGTAACAGAAAACAGGTGTAGCATTGTGTATGGTTTCATACAGTAAACAGTATGATGGTCGGTTCAGGTAAAGTATAGATGCAAACAAAGTGCTCAAACAACTTCAAAAAAACCTTCGGGAGATGAGGAAACTCTACTAACATAACAACCATTGCATTCCATGTCAGAATTACTGTCCAAACACTTGCTTTTGTTAATAGGAAATTGCATAGAAGACTAAAGAGAGGCACACTATTATACACACTCTGAAGTGTGAGAGAGTTTACACATTAATGTGTGTTTGTTCTAGATGCTCAGAGTCAGGGGCCCGGTGCTCTGAACAGCATTCATGACGGACTGGACCACTTCTGAGGTGGAGCCCTGGCCTCCCAGGTCAGCGGTGTGCAGCTGGAGGACAAAGAGAGCAATGTGAGCAGAATATTCTCTATTCATTTTTTGGGTAACTTGCCATCAGTCAGATGTTGAAGCGTGTGATGTGATTGTACCTGAGTCTCAGTGACAGTGGAGATGATGGCTCTGCGGATCATGCTGGCGTAGGCATGGAGCTTCAGGTGGTCCAGCAGCAGGCAGGAGGCCAGCAGCATGGCCGTGGGGTTGGCTGTGTTGCTGTTTGCAATGCTCTTCCCGGTGTTCCTGGTGCCCTGCACATAGAGAAACATGTTGCATAGATGGAAGAACATGTAAGGATGTGGCAGCTTTAACATCCGATTATTTACAATGTCACTGCAGTGCTGAAATACTTATTTTTTGAAAATACTTTGCACTTATTTAAGTTTGAAGACGTTTGTAGAAGTAAGAGTAATAGATTTTCTTATCATATGTATTTTTGTATTTAATAAACAATGGATCAAATGTAGAATGTGAAAGAACCCTCATCTTCATTTTAGTGTCTTTACACTTTACACTAGTTTTGGTTTACCCGGGCAACGACATGCCTGTTTTGGTTCTCTCTCTCACCATTCGTCGAGTCGTTTCCAGCTGCAGCAAAACTGATAAACCCATTGTAAGATAAACCCATTGTACACTACTGGCCCAGCACGGAATTACAGACAGACACAGTAAAAGACTAGCTGGTGGACATAGTGGAGCATTTAGCAGCTTAAGAGCCAGATATTTCCCTCATGAGTTGTTTGGTGGAGACCAGAACTTAAAGGAGAGTGAATATTGTATCGTCTCTGTGATTTATTTCTTGGCCTTTCGATTTCGAGTTTGATGTGAATCCTCTCACCGTCTCAAACACGGCGTAGTCCTCTCCATAGTTGGCTCCAGGCACCAGGCCGGGTCCACCAACGAGCCCAGCACACACATTGCTCACGATGTTGCCATACAGATTAGGCATGACCATCACATCGAACTGCTGGGGCCGGGAAACCAGCTAACACACACAAATCAAACACAATCTCAGAATATTGTTACATTTTTGCCTAAAGAAGTTCTTCAACTATGAATAAGGCGGCCAGCATGAGACTGGGCTCAAAAGTATGATTCAATGTAAGCCTTCAGATTTAATATAGCAACAGAAATGTGAGGGACTGAACATGATGATGGTGAGGATATAAACACTGCATAATGTGATGAGCTGTATAACAGTGGGTAGACATGGCGGAGCTACCTGCATGGTGGTGTTGTCCACAATCATGCTGTCGAAGGTGATTTCAGGGTAACCGCTCGCAACCTCTTTGCAGCACTCCAGGAAGAGGCCGTCACCCAACTTCCTGCTCCAACAAACACACACACATTAAGATGTATCATGTGTTTAACGGAGAAAGATGAATAAAAACAGGCATGGTCGGGGCCTTTGAGCCATGAGAAACTGACATGATATTAGCTTTGTGCACAGCAGTGACTAGTCGGCGTCCTTTGGCTCGAGCAGTTCTGAAAGCGTAATCTGCGATGCGCAAAGATTTGGTCTTGGTGATGATCTTCAGACATTCAACAACGCCTGGTACACTCTGCAGAGAGACAGAGAGAACGAGATGCATGGAGGTCGGATTTGTGATGATTTGTGAAGCGATTATGAACACACACACACACCTCGTGCTCCAGGCTGCTGTACTCTCCCTCTGTGTTCTCCCTGATGATCATGATGTCGATGTTTCTGTGGCGTGTCCTCACTCCTGGTAGAGACTGGCAGTGCATCACGTTGGCATACAGATCCAGAGTGGTGCTGCAGAGAGAGGATGAGGCAAAGACAGCAAAAGAGAAGGATAGATTAGATGGATAGAGAGGCAGAAAGATGGTGCTAGATGGAATATGAGAACAAGCACAAAGAGCCAAAGTGTGGTGAAAGTAATGAAAAACTTACCGGAGCAGATTGTTCCTGGACTTGTAGGACGGTGGCAAGTTGTGGTTGGTTTCAATGTTACCTGGATAAACAAACAAAGTTACATCTAAAGAATGAGAACTAAAATATAGACATAAACGAACTCCATATAGCAGAATGTCTGGACTTTCTTTTGAAGTACACTCTTTGCTTTACAAATGTGGAAAGTCTAACAGAGCTAATGAATTGGCAACTGAGTGTATATGATATACATTGTCATAATGATCTTTTTCTGACTTACATGAACATTGACAGACAGGCCCTTGTACGGACATGTTTCATATAAAACACTAACCTTTTAGTGCAACTCCATTGCGTCTGATAGCCATTATGGCGTTATCGATGTCATCTTCTGAGTCCATGGACGAGTCCACATTGACAACCTCAAAGTCCACTGGCACACAGCAGAACCTGATAACAGCGAACAGATGGAGATCACTTCAATATGACGGCGCTGAGTCATGTGGTGACCGAACAGTACGAGTCTTGTTACTGACTTAATTCAAACACTGTATGCCTGCGTGTGAATTCTCACCGAAATAGTTCACACACGTGGTTGGCCAGCTCTGGTCCGATGCCATCACCGGGAATCAGAGTCACAGTGTGCCTGCCTCCATACCGCGCTGGTGGAGGCTGTAGCGCACGCACATACACAAAACACAGAAATTCTAACTCCTCTTTATACAACCCAGTAGATGCATCCCCTACAAAACTACTGAGAAGACTCTACGCTACTACAAAGACACACTATTGTAATCCTTTAGCAATTCTGATAACTTCTAATAAGACATATGCTACTCGTCTGTGTGTGTGTCGTAAGCAGCCATACTCACTATGGTCTGCTGTGGGTGGATTGAGGAAGGAGGGATTCAGAACGGAGGAGAGAAAACAGGAAGGTTAGCAGGACAAAGAGGAGGGGGAAGACATATGCTGACCAGCAGCTTCCTGGTGGCATTACAAGCACATTGACGGGACAAAACAATGTTGGTACTCCTGTGGACGTGCAGTAAAGTCATGTTGAATCCCTTGAGGCGGTGGGGCTATCAGGTTGGGAAGGTCATAAGGTAAACAAGGTGTGTGTTGCTTGAGCTCCTTTTCGAATGAATCCTGAACAACTCACAGTGTAAGTGGACTTGTGTCTCTGATTACATGTAGCTGCACCATAAACCTGAGAATACAGAGAAAAGGTGGTTATTTGCAGAGAAGATGACAGATCTGTGGTCTTACCTATCTTATCTACCCTTTACTGTTTATTCTAAATATATATATTTTTATTTTTATTTTATTTATTCACCATATGTACATTACTCTGCGCTTTACTGCTTTGTGCACTTCTGGCTGGATGTACTTCATGTATTCTGTGCAATGACAATAAAGTTAAATCTAATCTAATTATAGGAATTTATTGGCAACAATCATTGCAAATTTACTTAGGTTGTTGTTAATGCTGGTATATCTGAAAAATGGCATAAATATATCCTGTAAATATACTGTTTATCTGTTCCTGTAATAGGCTAAATTAAACATTGTACCCACTATGTATATTAAAGTGTTGTTATAGAATTTGAGTCAGTTTTGTCTTCAGTTCTTTCCAGTGGGTAGAAGTTGTTAACCGGTAACTATCAGCGAAGTTAGTACATGTACTCAAATACTGCACTTAAGTACAATGTTGAGGCTCTTGTACTTTACATGAGTAATGCTGTTTAATGCTACTTTATACTTCTACTCTACTGCATTTTGGAAGCTGCTATTGTACTTTTTACTCCATTACATTTATTTTCCAAAAAACATGACTTTGCATATTCAGATTATTATTACAAGGTATCTTCAACTGGTGAATTAGTATGCATTATTATCACAAATTAAGCCATCCAGCAGTATGTAAAGTATTTTCTCCTTCTGTACCTGTAAAAATAAGTGATGAACACATGAATCCATCCTTCATTATAATCCAGTGATATAGTATATATTATCCTGAAATAGACCGTTCTGTATATTGATTAGGCTACTTTTACTGTTTGTACTAAACGTCGATCATGATGCTAATACTTTTACTACATAAGACTATGAATGCAGGGTTTTGAGTTGTAACAAAGTATTTTTTTACACTTTGGCATTGCTCATTTTACTTAAGTAAAATCCCTGAATACTTCATCCACCACTGGTCGATGGCGTACCCGTTGTAATAGTGGTTGAATAATGTATGACCCTGCAGGGAGCAGATTAAGTATGCATTTACGGTTTTAACTCGCATGGCAGAAAAAGAGGAATGCTGCAAAAAGTCCATTTTCTCTCAGTCTGCAGAAAAAGTACATTTTCTCTAATTTTCTCTCAGTCTGCTCTTCATATTAAGTTGACAGAGTGGTGCTGAAAGGACAGCGACATTAACCGAGCTGGTTCAGTTAGCCAACCAACCGTTAATCAGCTTAGTGTCGCTCACCAAACTAACTAGTAGCGTTAAACCACTACAAATGTTTTAAATAAATAAATAAAAGAGTCTGTCTAACAGTTAACTACATGCTGGTGAACTCAGAGACTGCTCCTACCCTGGTTAACCGGTTGCTGAACACGAGCTTCAGTCTTCCGGAAAGGGAGCACACTGACCGGGCCATCATGTTTCACTCTCCCCCGGGGATGGATGAAGGACACGGGGGCGTGCTGCGCGCTCACCGTTAATCTCTCTCTCTCTCTCTCTCTCTCTCTCTCTCTCTCTCTCACACACTCACTCACTCACTCTCTCACACACACAGAAGAAACTATATTTCTCCGAGAGGATGCTCGAGAAGTTGAAGTCATTCTAGCTAGCTTCGTGTCGCCATGGTAGATCAAATAGACAGCCTCGAGGGCCCGATGGCCTACTTAGTTTCAGGTTTTGTTCCCCCATTTTTTTTCGTGGCACTTTTTCCGTCCGAGAGCACTGTGTTGAACCACCGGGAGGCGACAAAAACACAAGATTTAACATGAACTGTCGCCATTCTACCTGTTACACCACTCAGTAATGTATCTTCTAATAGCTTTTTAATCAATGTTTGATTATTACATTTGCTGATCTTCATTTCTTATATTTCCACTGCTGTATTCAATATTCGGTAGCATCAGTGTTGGCATACCGTAACAGCAGTTCGATAGCGTTATATTACGATTATATCGCGTTACATGTTGATATGCAAGAAGCGATATGATCAGAATCAGATGGGTAACGGATAAAATAACGCTGTTAGTACTTGAATCAGTTGTGGGCCACTTGGAAAAATTCTACTCTCCGGCTTTTTTATCTTCGTCAAACCGTCGGTATCCTCATCCTGGTAGTTGTAGTTTTCTTCTGTTTCCCATCACATCTGTTCTAGTTGGACGTGATACACTTGTTAGACTACATTTCCCAGCATACCCTGCGGTCGCGCCTCCTCCCTCCACTCTCTCCGCCTTCCCTCCCACTCCACTGGGCCGCGAGGAAGTCGCAAGATGGCTGATGTCGCTTGGAAGTAATGTTCCCCTCTGCAACATGAAGCCGTGAGTGTGGAAGAAAGCGAGGGAGGCACCATCGGGCTTTTATTTTTATTTTATTTTAGTTACTTTTCTTTTATTTCGTCAAACATCCATCTCATTCCGCGTCGTGTCCGCCCCGGACTTGTCTTCGGGAGTTGACGCGTCAAATCACGCCGGGGACCCTGCCAGCAGCTAACAGCTAACCACACAGTTAGCAAATGTTAGTACAGCTAGCCAGTCAGCCGGGGACGTAGCTTGTTAGTTTCTTTTAATTGATATTCGGAAAACCCGCGAGCCAACGAGCTACCAGTACAAATGTGCGGAAATTTGCCTGAGATAGTGCAGAATAAATGTCAAATATTTCAGCTGTCACACTAAAAAATAACGATTTTGCAAGCTGCTCGGTTCAACATCATGTCCGCGAACTGGCCATCCAGCCTGTGGATTGCTAACGTTAACTAATGCGCAGTACTGCATCTGTTTCATGTGCACAAATCAGCAGGATAACTATTGTATTGGCATTTTTCATTCAAATCCAACCACCTTGCTGCATTTCCGTTATTTGCTGCCAACTACCTGTTTGAAGCTGGTTATGTTGAAGCCAAATTATGGGAGCAGGAAATGTGTTCAACTTTTTCTGGCTGTAGGTAGCTACACTGGCCTTGCTGGCATCTCACCAAAAATCCACCGGGATGGACACTAAACGGAGCACCCACGCACAAAACTGAGAAATTGTCATTTATATATATCACGGGATAAGTAGAATACCGATTGCTGTCACACGTGTACACACGTGCACGGTGGCTCATTTCAATAGTCTGGGTGACAGATAGTTTTGCAGGGTTCACTAAAGTACAGTTAGTCATTACATCGGAGACCAGTTAGCTCGCCTAAAGTGCAGAGCTAGCTCCGGTCTCGCCCCACATCACATTACAAACACGGCGTACAGAACGTATTCAGAGCCCGCTCCCGGCCAGACACACAGGCTCAACAACACCGTCATGGGAGTGCAGGGTTTTCAAGAGTATTTAGAGAAGCGGTGTCCCGGGGCCGCGGTCCCGGTGGACCTCCTGAAGCTTGCCCGTACCGCGGCTCGCCAGCCCCCTCACCACCACCATCCACACCACCACCACCCACATCACCCCGGGCCCATGCCTCCCCCGCCCCCGCCTGCCAGGATCCTAATCGACGCTGACTCCGGCCTGCAACGCCTCTACGGCGGCTACCAGACGGACTGGGTGTGCGGGGGCGAGTGGAACGCCATGCTGGGCTACCTGGCCGCCCTGTCGCAGGCCTGCCTGTACCAGGGTGGCCTGGAGCTGGTCGTGGTTTTCAACGGCACACTGGGAAAGGAGCGCTGGCCCGAGTGGGCGCGGCGAGCTCAGGGCCAGCGACAGACGGCGCAGCTGATAGTGAACCACGTCGGCAGCAAGGCCACCCCGCCTCCCCGGGCATGGTTCCTGCCCCCGGCCTGCCTCAGCCACTGCGTCCGCCTCGCGATGTTCCGCTTCCGAGTGCGGGTGAGCAATATGTGTGAATTATGACTGTTTTGAGTATTGTGGTCGTATGGCGTTCTGTTCATTTAACACTTGCCCTTTTCTTGTTGCACGCCCATTTAGCAGCTTACATCATCCAGCGCCCTTTTTAACTCCTTCCAGTTGGGGAGCAAGTGCAACTACTGGCCCTCACCACTGAAATGAGTCGATCTGTAATTGTGTTAATATTATACATGCAAATCAAACAGACTGCCGTGCCTGTAGTTGGCCTGCTTTGCTCTCATGTGTTGGTCTACTGGGTGGAGGAAAGTGTCCAGTGCATATATGAAGCAGCAGCTATTGGCCGAACCAGTCTGTACATTGGTGCAACATGACCTAGTTTCGCTAGACTGTATGTTACATAACATGAACTCATTGAACCTTTCATACGTTGTTGGAGAACTGCTGAGTGGTGATAGACTGTAGGTCCCCATTGCCTGTCAGCGGTACATTTGTAATGACTTATTTTGTGCATTTCAGATAGATTGTGATTGAGAATATTACGGAAATATTTTTTAAGCATTAAACCTATTGGCACAATAGTATTTGCTTAGGTGTAAAATTATAGTAGGTGGGTGTGCTATATTCTCCTTACTCAACTAATATAGGGCAAAGAATAGCTCAACATGTTTTTGAAAAAGTAAAAGTGACTGATAAAGTTATGTTCAAGGCCTGCCATAAATGCAGCAAAACCCCTGATTGCCTTTCATGGTTCCCTACCTTTATCTTTACCTAGCTGTCTCCTTGCTTGTGATCTACCTTCCCATCTGCTTATATGGTAGCATTAAGAAACACTGCCCTAGTGTATTAAGAGAAGATAGGGTAGAAAATCCCACCCACATTACAGTAGAATACATTCTGATGATCCTTGTGTGAGTACAGCATCATTACTCACAGTTCCCATGTGTACTTATTGTTTTTTTTCCTGCCTGCATCCTGAGTAACAGTCCTATTTCTGCAACTTCGAGTATCTCACCTCTGCCTGAATTAAACATTTACTCTAGTCACTGCTGTTCCTCTCTATGCAGCTTTCTTGTCCTCAGCTTTACATGTACTGCATGAATGTCTAGTCTGTCTATTTGAATTTGCACATCTGGTTGTTAACACTGGTGATTAGTTTTAGTTGTTATTGGTGAGTGACACAAGAAATGTGAATACATTTGAACAAGTCGTGAAACAGTTTCCTCATAATCAACCGTGCCTTCACTGCCCCATATTGCATTCATTTGAAGACAGATTTGATTATCAGCTCATTAAATAGATTTTTAACGGAGTAACTTGAATGTAATTATTTCGTTTTCACACTGATTAACACAGAAGTTCTCCTGCTTGCTCTGTCTGGCGTAACCGTGCACCTCACCCACCCATTGGGTTCTGCACGAGTGTGCTCTTAGGCCATGATGTCGCCTGAGGTCCAGGTATCTGCATCATCACCAGTGATTTGGAACTGATTGGTGCAGCACAGATTTTCCACAGATGTGTTTTAGCGAGGGCTGTGGAGCTTTAGTATTGTGATTGTATACAAAGTATCAGCTCAACTGTCTGTGACCTCTATCCTTATCATAAACTGAGTATATCGCAGCGACTGCTAGCCTGGTAGCTGATCAGTTTCACAGATGCCCGTCCATCTTGGGCAAATCTCTACTCTGTTAGGATCCTATTTCACGGTCTTTATTAAGTTATTCAGAAGGGACTTCAGTTAAGTTTAGAGAGCTCAAAATCCTCTCATAGGAGAAGCTGAAACTGCATAAAATTGGGCATTTTTGCTTAAAAAATTACATAAAGACTTAACAAAATAGTTGCAGAGACATTTTCTGTTAAAGTGATAAGCAAATTAATCTAAACTACTGTGCTGCATTACTTGAAATATGACGACAACATCAAAATCTGACCCATGTCAAACCAGGTTACTCCTGGAAAGGTATAAACCGTTTCAAACTCCGTCTAGAGTTAGTTTTTCTATGACCCAGCAGACTGAGTTTGTCCCCTCTGCATCCACAGGTTGTACAGACTTTGGAGGACCACCACCAGGAAGTGCTGTCTCTCTACAGGGACTTTGGATTCGCCGGCCTGATTGCTCAGGATTCTGAGTTTGCCCTGTGCAACGTACCCGCCTACTTCTCATCGCACGCTCTCAAACTGAGCTGGAATGGCAAGAACCTGACCACACACCAGTACCTGCTGTCTGAGGCCGCCAGGCAGCTCGGGCTGAAGACACAGCACCTGCCCTGCTTTGCTGCTCTGCTGGGTAAGGAGTGTACACACACGAATACACCAAATCAAACGCGCATCCCACATTTCTCTCACTGAAATACACACACCTACTTGTAAGCTGTTTTTTTGGCGCCCATCGTTGTCCGTTGTCCATGTTCATTTACGCAGCAAACATTTGAAAGAGTTTCTGTCTCCCAGGAAATCATATTCTGCCTGATGAGGACCTGGCTGCCTTCCACTGGAGTCTGCTGGGACCAGAACACCCACTAGCTTCTCTCAAGGTCTCGTATTATTATCAAGTCCAAAGACCTCGGCCAACCTCAGCTTAAGCTGTGAGAGTATTTGCTTCAAGAATCATGCAGTACTGTATATTTAGTAAAATAGTGACATGAGCTCTGATTTACCTCAACATGTGAAATCTTTTCAGTGGTTTGGGGACATAATGCTTTTCCATCAATAGAAGGCTTTTATTGTGAAACGTGCATCCTAAAATCATGAAATTGATTGAAATATTTTGAATGAATGATTAAGTTATTGGAATAAAATGTAGTTAATTTATCAGGAGAAATAATGTCCCAACAATTTCACACCACAATAAAAAATATATTGATATTTTTGTCCTCAGAACATCATATTATTTTATTAAACTTCGTCTGCAAACATAAAACTTGTGTGAAGTCTAAACTTTGCACTATTTTTTAATGTTATTTAGACTATGCGATCTGTACTGTTATCATTTTTTTGACCATCATATGCCAACCAGGTATATGTGGATTAAAACCTTTGCACTGTTCCTGTCTTAGGTGCGAGCTCACCAGTTGGTGCTGCCGCCCTGCGAGGTGGTGATCAAGGCCGTCTCAGAGTATGTTTCCTCCATCAAAGACCTGGGAAACCTGGACGCCATCGCCAGAGATGTCTTCAAACAGTCACAGGTGGGCGGTGTGCCCCTTTGTCTGTGATAATTACTGATTAGTTTCTGCTAACCTCTTTATTGGGCTTAATTTGAATTGATTGAAATAGATTTACATGTTTCATTTCTGAGCGTGCATTCCGGACTGCTGCTGATGGTTAAATAGGTCATCACTGTTGACACAAGACCCTGAGTCAGCATCTGCACTTCCTCACACATCAGTGTGAACCATAGCATTGCGCTACACTTCATATACATCCATGTGCTTTACAGGATTATGTAGTTTCAGTTCATCAGAGCTGCGTTGTTGGTCTCCAGTATGTTTATGATTGAGCAAGTAGGGTTCAGTAGCAGTTTATCAAATCCTCATCCCGGTTGAATCTCGCTAAAACTTTACTTGATGAAACAATTAGTTGATTCATCTATCGACAGAAAATTAATAAACAATTTTGATAATTGAATAGTCAAATCAAAAAATACTAAAAATGTAGTGGTTCCAGCATCTCTAAAGTGGAATATCTGATGCTTTTCTTTGTCACATATGACAGGAACCTGAAAATCCTTTTTGGTTTAGGACTGCTGGTTTGAAAAAACAAGCAATTTAAAGACGACGTCAGAATATTAATTCCACTTTATCTTTTAGCCAACGTCAGCTAAATGAATCTACCGTGTTGCACATACCTTAAAACTGGTAGTACTGTCTCCAGCCACGGCTCTCAACTAACTTTTGTCATCTAAATCCCGGAACCGCCCAAAATATACAACTAAAGCCGCCCCTAAATGAATATGGACCGTTCAGTCTAAATGTATTGTTAGTTTGAATCATTCAAAGGGACCTTTTAACAAAAATAACCTCAAAAGTATTTTTTTATTTTTTGTTAATGAATTTATGATTTATTCAAAACAATGTTTTTAATTTTATTTATCAAAGTAATTTTATTGGTGTGTTATTTCTGATTTATATAAAGGGTATTGTTCTTTCAAATGTCATCACATTTACTTTCATCCTCCCCGATCCTCTTATTTTCGGCCCCAGAAAGCCATGTGATCAAAACTACAGATCTACAGCAACTTGATATTCTGTAGTTAAATGTTTAAGCAAAATATTCAAAGTGAAGTGTGCACATTTGAGGCGCACTGCCAGGATGTACAGTGAGTTCAGTAAACAGCTGATTCTCTGAGTTACAGCAGTATGTCCTTCCATAACATTATCAGTCTCAGAAGCCATCTGTTGACCGATTTGTTGGAATTGGACCAAAAAGGGATAAGTCTGGTGTTACTCTACGAACTACTAACAAGTGTTATCTGAGCATCCGAAGCCTGATATATCTTCTTCCTCTGCGCCATAGAGCTCCATTGTTGTTCAAAAACAATTACAAACACATTAATGAGCCACACTGTTGCATTGAGTGACATGTTGAGTGGCACTGCTGTTCACTTTCACCCAATCCCACATATACTGTCCTTCTTCTAGAAATACTCCTCAGAGCAACGAATGTGTATTCATCCGCTGCTGAAAATAGTCCCCAGAGATTGTTTTCATAGGATCTGTTGACTATAAGAAGGAAATATTGCTGTCCTTACCCTTTAACAATAACTAAGCAGTCAACATAATGCTTTCTTTCCTTTTCTAGTCTCGTATGGAGGACAAAGTGGAGCGATTCAAGAAAGCTGTGGAGTATTTCTCAGCTGCCTCCAAACCTCGCTCGCCCAACATGGGGCCTTCCTCTTTCATCTGTGAGTAGTAAAAAAAAAAGTCTAGAGAACAGAACTAATAATCGTTATGTTATCATTTTCGGCTCACTAAATATGTATTTATGAGAAGAAAATGTTCATTCTCATCCATGTTTTTTTTTTTTCTGCTTAGTACCTGGGTTTGGATTTGGGGGACCACCTGGCCACATGGGACCTATGCAGCCTGGAAAGAATCAGGTAGATTCCTCAGCCTGGTGATCCTTTGTTCCTCTTTGATGTGTCATTGGTTGTCTGGTCTCTACACGAATCTACATGTAACAGAATGGATTACATTTTTTCCCCTCTTTGAAATCCCTTTGTGGCATGTGCTCATTTAGGGCGAAAAATTGGCTGAGAGAGACGGAGGGTGCAGCCCTTCCCGTCCCAAATTCTCCCACCAGCCTCGATTAGATGCTTTGGGTTAGATCTGAAATAAAATAGGACAGTAAACGACATCTCCCCCCCCCCCTTTGCTCCGTCTTTTCTCTCTTTTTTTAAATCCATTTTCCTTTTTTCTGTTCCTCTCCGTCCAATCACAGTTCCCTCCTCCCCAGATGCCGGGGTTAAAGCCACCCTATCAAAATGCTCCATATGGACCTGGCTCCGCCCCTCTGTTCCTGAACCCGCCGCCACCATCCCAAGACTGCAACGATTCAATGGCGGGCAAGATGGGCTTCTCCGATTGGTCGGCTCCATATGATTCCACTCAGGGGGGAAATCGATTACCCAATCATCACACCACCACTCAGTCTGTTCCCTCTCCGTCTCCTTCATCGTCATCGGATGGAGATGAGCCCAACGACAGCAACACGAAGTAAGATACAAAGTTAAAACTGTTTGGGTTTTATCTCCCTGTGTTCAAGTGAAAAGGGGGATTGTGGCATTTTAGGTGGAGCAAAGCATTTTACAGAACACATGTTTTGACTAATCACAAGGAGAGCTTAGCTTTCATGTTATGTGGAAAAAAGTAGAGAAAGTGCTCACTGACAGGCTTGTAATTAAAGATTTGTGGCTCATTAGTCAAGTTATTTATTTATTTAAGTCCAGAATGCTTTTTATTTCTGCACAGCTGCAGATAAAGATTAGGCTTCACACATATTATAAGTATTATACTATCTATAGAATAAGACTCCAGTGGTGGCTGCGTAGGATTGTTTACGACTCGTGTGAACAATTTATTTCGTCGATTAATCAATCATCGGAAAATTGATCTGCAACTATTTTAGTAATTCTGGTTTCTTTTGTCCTCCACATGTGTAAACTGAATATTTTGGGGTTTTGGATCAAACAAGTCCCCCTTGACTTCAGGACAGACATTTTTCACCATTTTCAGATTTGTTTTCCATTCATGGATTAATTGAAAAAATAATCACATAAATCAATATAGAAAATAATCTTTAGTTGCAGCCTTATTGTTGCCTAATTAAGAGCACTATAATAAGTATTTATCTTGTCATTTCTTCAGTTTCTTAAACCAGGAAACACTGAATGGGTACCATATACAGTTGTGTGAAAAAGTGTTTGCCCCCTTCCTGATTTCTTATTTTTTTGCATGTTTGTCACACTTAAATGTTTCAGATCATCAAACAAATTTAAATATTAGACAAAGATAACACAAGTAAACACAAAATGCAGTTTTTAAATGAAGGTTTTTATTTTATCCCCAAGACTTTTGGGAAAATACTCTGTGGACTGACGAGACAAAAGTTGAACTTTTTGGAAGGTGTATGTCCCATTACATCTGGCGTAACAGTAACACGGCATTTCAGAAAAGGAACATCATACCAACAGTAAAATATGGTGGTGGTAGTGTGATGGTCTGGGGCTGTTTTGCTGCTTCAGGACCTGGAAGACTTGCTATGGTAAATGGAACCATGAATTCTGCTGTCTACCAAAAAATCCTGAAGGAGAATGTCCGGCCATCTGTTTGTGACCTCAAGCTGAAGCGCACTTGGGTTCTGCAGCAGGACAATGATCCAAAACACACCAGCAAGTATACCTCTGAATGGCTTAAGAAAAACAAAATGAAGACTTTGGAGTGGCCTAGTCAAAGTCCCGACCTGAATCCGATTGAGATGCTGTGGCATGACCTTAAAAAGGCGGTTCATGCTCGAAAACCCTCCAATGTGGCTGAATTACAACAATTCTGCAAAGATGAGTGGGCCAAAATTCCTCTACAGCGCTGTAAAAGACTCATTGCCAGTTATCGCAAACGCTTGATTGCAGTTGTTGCTGCTAAGGGCGGCCCAACCAGTTATTAGGTTTAGGGGGCAATCACTTTTTCACACAGGGCCATGCAGGTTTGGATTTTTTTTTCCCCTTAATAATAAAAACCTTCATTTAAAAACTGCATTTTGTGTTTACTTGTGTTATCTTTGTCTAATATTTAAATTTGTTTGATGATCGGAAACATTTAAGTGTGACAAACATGCAAAAAAATAAGAAATCAGGAAGGGGTCAAACACTTTTTCACACAACTGTATGTTGTTGTTGCTGAGCTTCTTCTAATGTCAGATGAGTAGGGGTGCAACGGATCACAAACCTCACGGTTCGGTTCGGATCACGGTTCTTGAGTCACGGTTCGGATCAACAAAGAAAAGGGGAGGAGACAAATATAACTTTGCTTTCCATTTATTAATTAAAGAACTTCAAGAACACTTAAAGAAAATAACTTTGGGCTATAGTCTTAAATAAAAACAAAAATATTGATGTCCAATTTGAAACAAAATTAAATAAATAAATAAAACATTCAAATATACTCAATTCTGTTAAGTTTAAGTGCAACATGAGGTATGTTGATACCCTCGTCCTTTGATCAATGTTGAAAGAAAGAAACAGCCAGTGAGCTAGCTTACACCGTTTCAACTGAACTGAACTGCTAGGCAACAACTTGGGTCTATGTTTACTTCCTGTCATTCAAATACACAATAATGTTACATTACTGTGACATTATTTTCAAAAAGATGAGGATATCTACATTGTCTGGAGTGAGGATAGACCTTTCTGTGGTGACTGTGATATTACTATTGGGCCCGTCTAGCTTCCACTCTACTGCTTCTGTCAGCACCTGCCCCAGGTGTGTCTGTGTGACTCTCACAGAGGGGGCGTGTCTGCAGCACCGGGCTAGGAATCTCCACTCCGCCGTGGTGAAAGCGGTCACAGTCTTTTCCTTTTCATAGAGGCGTGCAACAAGCTTCACACTGAAGTGGGTGCGTGAGTGGATTTCGTAGCGTGGCTCAAGCATTTTAACCAGATTTTGAAATCCTTTGTTTTCCACACCGAAGTGTCTCCTGTCGCTGACAGACGGGATGGTGGCTCTTCATATGTGTGGACATGCCAATATATTGCCGTTGTCGTGTGTCTCTCTTTAAATAATGCCTACATACCGTAACGGGGGCTTCTCAAGTTCCTCCGCTCGCCATGACTTTCGGCGTTAAATGCGTTTAACCTGCTCTGGTCACGTGAACACACTACTGCTTTATATCTGTTCACTGACACTCTGCATTGATATTCGGGGACTTGTTACTTGAAAAGGAACAGCAGCAGTAGAACTTTATTACACACTATGATGATTAAACTGTAAAAAAAAAAAAAAGAAAATACTCAATTGATCCGCGGTTCACGAGTGATCCGAACCGTGAGTGCTGATCCCTAACCCCACTACAGATGAGTCTAGTTCAACGCGAAGGGAAGAATGACGTTAAAAAAAAACATCCCTTCGTCATGCGCCCTGTGTGTCTCCAAAGAACATAAATATACACATCCGAAGCATTAAAGTGCTTTATAAACTTCTGCCACTCGCTGGAATTTGATTTCGTCTCGTGGGTCCTGATGATGCAGAATGACGATAGCCAAAACTGTCAAATCAACGAGTTACCTGTCAGTCTGTATAACTTAACTCCTCTTGAACAGGAACCAGACCAGAACTGAAATGCAACAATATAAAAAACGTTCCCCCTTGGATTAAATGAAATTAACCAAACTACAGCTGTGAAAGCACCCTTATTACAGCTACTGAGAGGAGGATGGAGGATCAGGGCGTCCCATGATTTTTAAGTTTTCACATGTTTTCAGTCTTCCAGAAATAAGGTTTAAAAGTCTGAAAAGGGACAACTTGGACTAGCGTGTTCAATTTCTGAGAGCCTTATGCTACTGCCAATTTCCTTTTGCTGCAAGAGCAAATATTGAAACAAAGTGAGCAAAGAACACAAACGTGTTTCATCAGCTCAAAATGTTTTTGAGGAAATGCTTCCTCAGCAGAAACAGTGATATTGTATAAACGCACACACCCACGATTGAATGCCAGGCCACTTTGATGAAACACTCATAAACCCTTTCTGTCAGCCATTTGACGGACAAGCCCTCTCGGTGGGAGGATCCTGCTGGAAGGGTGGGCTCAGCCCCTGGAGACGGTTCACAAGGCAACGGGAGCGGATCACACATTCCGTCACTGCTGTCTATGGCGACACGCAGTCACATGGACATAACCACACCCCCTCTGCCTCAGGTGTGTGTCCATGAGAGATTGAAAAAAACACATTTTCAAACCAAATGTTTGTTAAAAACTCACCATGTTTCCTGTTTTTTTCCCCCTGATATCAGGTCAGTGCTGAGGTTCTTCGAGTAGCTGAGCACAGACACCGAAGAGGACTAATGTACCCCCAGATTTACCACATTTTGACCAAGGTAAACTGCTTTCCTCACTTATCTTTTACAAGGCCCCTAAGTCATCATCAAATAGAGATGGAGTTAATGTATCGACGTCGTCAGAGCCACCCTGTAATCTCTCTGTCCTTCCTCCTCCCTTCACCCGCTGCACCCGGCAGGGAGAGATGAAGATGCCAGTGTGTATAGAGGATGAGTGTAACGCTGAGCTACCTCCTGCCTCTCTGCTGTTCCGTGCTGGCAGACAGTATGCCTACGGCGTCCTCTTCAGTCTGGCTGAAACTCACCGCCGCCTGGAGAGGCTCGCTCTCCGCAAGAGGGCTCCCCTGGAAGGTAGGTCCTTAAGAGTAGATAGAGGGGAGCAACAAGGAGGACGGATTGTTGTTGGGTTTTTTTCTATATATATTCACATTTATTGAGTGGTGGAAAGTATCCCAAGCACATTGACTCAATCACTGATTGATTTAGAATTGCTATTTGAGTGAATTGTGCTTAGAGTTGAGCAGTCTGCCGCTGGTCGCTATATGTAAGTTCTCTCTTAAGTTAGGCTACAAAGCCACACTAAACGATACTTTTTCACTTTCTGTGGCCAGTCAGGGAAAGCACTATTCTTAATGCAGTTTAGTGAAGACGTTAACCAGCCTCAAGGGGCCATTTGAGGAGCTCCAATTTTTGGCTTCATAAAATGTGGGGAAAAAAAGAGGTTAGATTGTTTATGGTTGTTTATCTTTAAAAGGCAGCTCAATATTCGCTTCAGTTGTTACATGTAACGTTGTGGTAAGGCGCACTTCCAAGAATCGTACAATGTCTGACCAAAAAACCGAAGCAGTCGAAAGTGTCTGCTGAAAGAAAGGTCAGTTCTTTTCCATGGGAATTAAACCCCGACTTCAGGACATCGCTAGCCAATATTAGAGAGACACACTGAACCCTTTCCTGCTCTGTCCCTGTTAGCAGCTTTGGAGGAGTTCTAAGCGACATGATTAGAATAATATCGCAACACTTAATGTATGAGTCTGCGCCAAAGCCCGGCACTGAAACACCTGTATCACTGTATCTAATTGATTGCATCATTACATTGGTTGCATCAGTTATTTTAAACTAAACCCCGTACATTTTTAACACACTTCTCTTGCCTCTGCATTACAGTTCCTCCAGTAATAGTCAAAGAGTGGAGCAGCGGTAAAGCCAAGTCGGCCCTGACTCCGGAGCTGGTCCCGGCCCTGTGTTTCCGGGAGTGGACCTGCCCTAACCTGCGGCGGCTGTGGTTAGGTCGTGCCAGTGAGGACCGCTCCAGGAGAACCAGGGCTTTCCTGGCCTGCCTACGCTCTGACTGCCCAGCCCTCCTCAACCCAGCACAGGTCCCACAGCATCTGCTGCTCATGTGCTGTGTGCTCAGGTATGATGGTGCTCTACACCGCTGCTGTTTAGTTCAGTTACCTAAAGTGTGTGTGTGTGTGTGTGTGTGTGTGTGTGTGTGTGTGTGTGTGTGTGTGTGTGTGTGTGTGTGTGTGTGTGTGTGTTCCTTAATACAGTATGAGCTTTGCAGGAACACCTTCGTAAGAATAAAACACTGGCTTTGTATATTTCTATTTGAACATTTGTGCTCAGTTCTTTTCACCGTGCACTACAGCTGAAGTTATCAGTCGATTAATCTGTCGGCAGCAATTTGTGTATATATATATATTGGGAATTTCTGATCTTCCACTTGGTAAAAAAGAAACCTAAAGCTACACGGCTGGTGTTTTCCACACGTTTTTGACGCAACATGTGAATGTTCCCATTAGTGGATTGACAGTAAATGACAATATGAGTGTGATATCAGTGGGTAAGTTAAACGTTCTCGTTGTCCATAATTTTGACGGACAGGGTTGTAAAAATTCCGTCAATCTATTATTACTCATCACTTTAATATTTTTAGGAGAAGACCTCTGTGTGATTTTGATGCAAACTAAGCAATACTTCATACATACTATGCTTCTCAGAGTACATTGTGCATCTTCACTGCAGAGATCTTAATCTAAACTGTTCTGCTTGCTTGTCATGAGTGATGTGGACATATTTAATATTGCGCTGATCAGTCTTACCATTGGAATATGGACTGTTGTGTTATGTCATTGGACACAATTCTAAATGAAAGCCATGTAAGGTTATTGCTGCATACAGAGTGCTAATCCTATCAATGTATCTGTAGACGGGTACACTGTAGCTCTGTGCTCCTGCTCTAACGTTAGTGTTGCTTTCCTTCTCTTTCAGGTATATGATGCAGTGGCCTGGAGGAAGGATCCTCCAGAGACATGAGCTAGATGCCTTTCTGGCTCAGGCTGTTTCCAGCCAACTCTATGAACCCGACCAGCTACAGGAGCTCAAGGTGAGACCCCACTCCTCACGTCCTCATTGTTGGGCAATCAGTGTTTGGGTTTCTGCACACAAGTATTGCACAATTCAATTTTATTACTAGTGTTCTTTTGTGTCGGGCACTTTGAGTTGCACAGACTTTAGTTGCTGAAAGATACGAATCTTCCTGCACCCCTAAAGACTAATTTAAGTGATTTTGGTGTTACAAGCTACATCTCCTGTGTTCAATACCTCATGATTCACATTAACTCTTCTTCCATCTTTTCTACGACTCGTATCTGTGAACTGCCTCCAGTTTAAAAATTTTCACATTTTTCATTTGTATATTTGCCGTTAGGTGGAGAAGGTGGATTCCCGCGGCGTGCAGCTGGCGTCTCTTTTCATGGCCGGCGTGGACACGGCGCTGTTCGTCAACGACGTGTGCGGTCAGCCGCTGCCATGGGAACACTGCTGTCCCTGGGGCTTCTTTGACGGCAAACTGTTTCAGAGCAAACTGTCCCGGGCTGCTCGCGACCGGTCCGCCCTGCTAGACATGTGCGAGGGTCAGGTATGTACAGTATGTTATCCTGTGTGATGGATGTGTGTCTTTTTAACGAAGTTAGAAGTTAATAAAATTTAGTTCATAAAATATATCAGTGCCTTCCCTGTTTGAGGGCAGTAATGTCCAAATCAAGTTAGTTTGGCCCCGATCCGGGTCCTTTTATTTTGGGTATCTGCCAGTTCCCAATTCGATTCAAAACGTATACTTACCTTTCTAGTTATGTATCGTACACCGTGTCCTAACTGAATGCAATGCCAGCAAGTGTCGGCGACAAAATGTGATTGATGGCACTATTTTGTATTCTCTTAACTGGCTGCACGCCGCTTTGACCTGAACTTTTGTTAGTTTCTGTTTATTCCTATCTCTCGCTTTGAAAGTGCCGCAGTGGACGAGGAACGGCTGATTCGTGAAGTCGAAAATATCAGTGGTTCTCAACTTTTTTGCCATGTGACCACATAAAATTCCTTTGGGTCCCCTTGTTGAAGGTGACAAAAGTCTTTCCGTTTTGATCTCTAAACTTCTCAGATTGTCTGATTTGAATAAATGTTTGATACTCAATGAGGTAAAATAATCCCAAAACTTTGAGAAAATATCAATATTAATGCAGATATATGGCAAGCCCCTCAGATTTATTTGAGGGGTCCCAACCTCCATTACACTACAAAAACCTAAATAAGGAGGCAGCTGGTTGGAGTAGCCTTATTAAGGTAAATGTCCATCACTAATAACAACCTACTTGCTATTGGCTATATTGTACGTCATTTCTAGTAAATATCACAATATCAAACGTGTGTTTTCTAAAAAGTACAAACGTAGGAAGATAGGAAGTATCACCCATCTTTTAAGTGGTTATATCTCCAGTCTGATCTTGAGCACACAGCTGATAGGTATGTGGTTTGTTTACATGATGTAATAGAAGGGAATATTTAACAGATTCAGTGTGGACCGAGAGCGTCCGATGTCCGATAGTCAGACGCTTGCATTCAGATAAGACATAATATCACACACTGAAATAACAACTATAGCCTTATAAATTCAGCCCAACTTTTTCCAAATGATTCAAACTATGAAGTTGAAATGAATTAAAGTTGACAGCTCTGCAAACATGCCGGGGTGGATAAATCGCTGGAGAGTCGAGTAAAGAAAGGAGTGGCACTTGATCGGCCATGATGTGGCTCAGGACAATTCTGCCATTCAGTATCCCCTGCTCAGATGTTCCCAGGCTGTGAGATGGATTCACACTAATCACTCTGTAGCTCAAAGGCTCGGTCACAGTTGTCTCTCTGCTCTGCAGGAAGAGCTGGTGTCCAAGGTGGAGAAGATGCGTCAGGCAATCCTCGAGGGCATCAACCTGTCCCGCCCTCCTCCTCCCCCTCCTCTCCCACCTCCTGCCTTCCTTCCCCCTACTATGGTGCCCCCTTTCTACCCCATGCCTCCCCTCTACCCGCCTCGCCCCATGGGCATGCCTCATCATCATCACCTGCATCATCCGCATCACCCGGCCCAGCACAGACCCAGAGCCTTCCCAGGTACAGAGATGGTTTGTTTCTCTACGCACGTTTTTAAGCATACTTTTAATCAATGTAGACATTCTTACTTTGCCCTAATTTTACACTACACACGGTCTAACAGCTTTTGAGTATGTATTGTGTTCACACTGGAAAAGCTGGAAAACCAAGTTCACTCAAATTAATCAGTATGAACTCTCAATAAAACATATGCTGTTGATGTACTCTATTGTTGTACATTGCAATGCATAAAGGAAGGCTCAGTATCGTCACTTGTTTTTTTTTTTTTTTTTTTGTTCAGGCCTTCAGTCCATCCCCCCTCAGGGAGGGAAACTGGAGATAGCTGGCATGGTGGTTGGCCAGTGGGCTGGGAACAAGCCAATCCGTGGAAGAGGAGGGTTCAACATGCAGGTGGTGTCAGTGGGAGCAGGGAGAGGGTGAGTAAGAGTGTGTATTAATGCTTGAGCATAAATGCTTGAGCGTGGTGCTAAGTTGGTACCCTGGAAAGCCATTGTTATCCACAACTTTGTACAGGCTCTGGTCTTGGTCTCTGGACCAAGTTATTTCCTTTGACCGTTCAGAGTTGGTTGAAGTTTCTGTTGGTCAGCCAAAATACTTCACCTTCGTCTTCACCTTCACCAAAGCCAATAATCAAGTTATTAACTCCATAATGTGGCCAAACGCCGTCCTTTTTTAAGATAAAACCAGAGATAGTGAGTGCGCATGAGATGCGCGGATTACAGTTATATCTGCAGCATCGGGCGTTTAGGGTCATACAAATTATCATTATGATTAACAGCGGATGGCTATATAAAATATATACAATATTAATTACATTCACGAAAATGTAAGCCGAGCAGAGGTGCAGTCCATAGACGCTGTGCACATTTACTCACATTTACTCCTCTGTTAAGCTTCACTGTCAAGCTTATTAACTACAGTTAGTTTTGCTGCCTAAATTAGTTTATTACTGCGTTTACAATTACTGGAAGCAGTTTCTTTCAGAGCGTGAATGTGCTTTTTACAAAGTTCTCCAGAGTTGAATAGAAGTGAACTGACCGCATGGATTTACTTTGCTACCAATTCTGTGTGAAGTCTGAACCGCCGGTGGGATAGAGCCCTGGAGCAGACTATCTGATCGTCTTTCTGTTTCTTCATCACAGGAGGGGTAAAGAGATTCCAGCTAAAGTAAGGGCGGTGAAAAAGCCACCTACCAACAGAACACAGGTAGCAGACCTTTATACAAAGCTCTTACATCTTGTACATTTTTCAACATGAATAGTGGTCACAGCTATAAATTCCCTCTCTGTCTATCACGTTCACACTTGCCATCTTGCCTTCGGGTGTTATTTTTTTGTGTCTTGTTTTATTACTTGGGTCTAAGGGTTTATCGTCTCGTATACATTGGTTATAAGATTGCAAAGCATTAAGGGGTGCTCTACTAATACATCAACTTGTATCTGTTTGTGAACATGTCCATGTGTCAATAGTGATGAGGGGGTAAGAGTCAGTCCACACAGATGTTCAGGGAAAGGGTAAAACAGATACAGATGCACAAGGGGTCGAGGTCATGCCCGTCCATGTGCTTCAAGTTCACATTGGCCTCAATTCAAACTCGGAGGGAGGAGCAGCAGACCCCGACACATATATCTTAACGTGTACTTCCCATAATTCAACACTTATCATGTTACACGGATAGAAATAAGGAAAGGTTGTTGAGGATATACATGAACTGGTATTGTTATAAATCCTTGCCTCCTGCTGTTCTGTTAAAATTCTGTCCGACTGTCCTCCTCCAGACGTCGCCACCCCCCCCATCCAGCAGTCCCCCAAAGCCCTCAGAGGAGGAGGAGGAGGCGGCCTCCACGCCAGAGGTTGCGACCCAGCAGCTGAACGGCAGCTCAGCAGCCTCCGCCATCGGCCAGCCCTTGGATGATCTGGCCCACCTGGTCCAGCCAATCCCCTGTGCCTTAGCCAGCAGAGACAACCAATCAGACGGGGTGGAGGTGGAGGCCCCCTGTTGCCTTGACGACTGCCCGTCAGACGGAGCGCTACAGAAGGAGGAGTAATGGGATCCTTCACGGGATGCACTGCTCTGAGAGAGTCCTCTGTGTTTGACTGCCTTTCCCTGTTTTTGTAGCCCTGCCTGCTAGCTGTGCACGTGATCACAGGGAGCAGGAGGTGAAGCTCCGCCTCCTGCTCCCTGTGATGAAACAGTTAGCTGTTACTTCCTTCTTAGTTTTCTCATGTGGTTTTACATTGTTTTATGAAGAGAGGTTTTCTCCATGACTCTGTAATCGCCCCACCCCTCGAAAAATCCTAAACGCCTCCCTCCCGCACTCAGAGTAAAATAAACTTGAACCCCCCCCCCCCATTACGACCCGCCACTCAAACGAGCCCCCCTTCCCATCTTAAGTATGGGTAACTGTAAGGTAAAATGTCTTATTTTGTGTTTTTAATGGTCCCATTGTTTGAATCTCTGCACACAGATGTTAAGCGTGCGGCTACGGTGACAGATGTGGTTTCCATTGTCGGCCTGGTTGCCATGGTTGGTAGATGTGTGTTGATGCGGTTTGTTGCCGTCTCGTGTGAGGTTTGTCTTACATGGATACAGAGAGATGTTCGGAGTTTGACTCTGGATAATGTGAGTTAGATTTTAACAAAGTGATGTACCATTCTTCAGTGCAGTGCCCCCCCCCCCCCCCCGGTACTCTAGCAGCACTGCTAAACACACAATGTTAGTATATTTACTAGCAACATACCCCTTTATTGATTGATTGATTGGTTATTTATCACAGGAGCACTTCTGCACATGGTATTGGCGTGATATCTTATTTCAACCCATGTAGCATAGCCTAGTGCTTAGCACTCAGAGACCCCATGACTTTATGCACCTTAAGTATGTAAGATATAACCCCGCTCCTCCAAAAGAAAGTGCATTCTTATATTATCTTCCCATCCCCCCCTTTGTCCCTTTCTCCCAACGCTTTGATTGTATTACCCCAACAGAAGCACTTAATGTTGTATTTACATATAATGAATTTGAACAAGCCCCTATATACAGATGAATTGACAGTCTGAGCCTAAGTAAATCATTATGACATGTAGAACTACAGTTAAAAGGTAGAGATCTATTTGAGAGACGTCAGAATGTGAACGGAGTGGTTTCAGACAAAGAAGCACTTTGTTTTAAATAATGTTAAACCACACTGGACCGTCTTCTACCAGGTGATAAAGAAATGAAAACGAAAAAACTCTTGAAGCACCTTCTGGAGTTAAGGCCAAAAAAAAATAGTGATACTGCCCAGAAAAAGATGGAAATGAATGCGTGAGGGTTTGGGTAACTACTGCCAGGCAGAGTTTCCTCAGACTGACCTCACGCGTTCATGCATGACCTTTTGCAATGAAGCTGAAAGGACCCCTGATTCTCCACATCAAGGATTCCTGGGAATCTTTTCAGATTTCTAAAGTTATTTCCAAAGTGTATTTAAAAAAAAAGGCTAGCCCATTGAGGCAGCCGGTGATATAAAAGGGGGTTTGGCGACTATGCCTCAAAGACCCCCACCCACCCACCCACCCCACCCTCTGGTGGTTGAGTAAAGGTTGTCATGATGATAGCCCAACACCACAAGCTCTTGCCCCGCAGAGCTCTGGTGTGTCACTTTAGACCAGCAGGAAGCACTTCCCTGCCCTGAAGTACCTCCGCCGAACGAGGGCGGAGGCTTTACATGTCGGATCACATGTCACATGACGGGAGAGAGGGAGGCCTCACGGCGGACTTAAGTGTGCCGCACACAATCTGAGACTTCTAAGATAATGAATTGTTTTATTAGAGCACTTATGTTTGTAGAGAATGAGACATGTCCCCCAATAGTAGGTTTCATCTGACTACGGAAATACAACTTACCAATAGCCGGTAGCACAACTGCAGATGTGAAAGCAGTAGACCGACAGATACTGCCCGAGAGATGCTGGCCACGAACATTGTAATCTCTATAAACTTCCTGAGAGAGGTTGAAATGAGCTCACCGTGTTAAACAGAAACAAAGGCAAGTCAACAAAGAAGCACCTTATTTTCTTACTATGTTGATGACTTGTGCTCGATCATGTGCAACAACAATTGACATGGCAAAAAGAAAAGCTCTTATGAAATGCTGTTATGAAGGAAGAAACCCTGACTATATATATATATATATATATATATATATATATATGTGTTGGTGTAGTCGCGTCAGACATCCCCTCAATTCTGAACTCAACCATGACAGTTGACCCAGCCTTGAGCGTAGGCCTACGCTCATCATCACAGGGCCGCGCCGCCGTCTCTTACACCAAATGAAACCAGAGGTCTGGACTGACTTTATAGCCGTTCTTGGTAGGGATTAAGCATACAAGTGCTGTAGGTGTTTGTAGGTTAAGAGTAGGTAACAGCGCCGGGCTTAACACAGGACCGTAATACAGACACGAAGACTAGGCTAGAGAATATAGCTCCACTGGCCGAAATACTAAGTCTAGAATTACTAGGAGTCATATACTTAACTGCTTTCAACTTTTGACATTAGTACAAATATGTGTATTGCAACAGTACATTGTTAGAAGATGTCTTTTCTGTGGCGAGCCAGAGTGTGATCTGGTATACGATACCCTCTCTCGATTCGCTCGCCAGATAACATTTACAAACGCACACACACACGACAAACACACACGACAAACGGGTATTCAGTTGCATTTGTTACCACCAGCATTCTCTCTGCTTTTGTGCTGAAGTGATTTTGTGCAGTTTCAGTTCGCAGTGGAGTGGTCGTCGGTTCATCAGAGATCATTTTTGGTAACACATTCTACTGATCCCCCCCCCCCCCCCAAAAAAAAAAAGACAAATCCCACATTTTCAAGTTTGCATGGATTTAAAATACATGTTGCCAGGTAGGCACAGCAACGGCCATCTACACACAGCACTCACGCAAGACATTAACACACACGGATACATAGATGTTAAACCCTGAGTTACACAGTAGCTAGTATGGGGGGAAAAAAAAAAAAAAAAAGTCAACACAATACATGATGTAGTGTCCCTCTCTCGTCCTTGTCTGTTTTAGTTTGATAGATATTTGATCAGTGATTTTTATGCTTGTTACCCTACCCCCCTGCTATGACACTTTTTCTCTGCCCTTCCTCCCCCCAAATGTTCATTCACTTCTCTCAGCCCCCTAATCTTCCTCATCGAGTACATGCATCCACTTACAGACACTCACCACACCCACTGATTCCCATTAAAAGCAGTCGCATACACGTATATTTTACACACAGGTTAACCCCCCGTTACTTCCTATATTTCAGTTCTCCTCTTTCAATCTTATCACCTCCCTCTCTGCCTCTCCTTTTAGCCCTTTTAGGAACGTTTCTATTGGCCGTTTTTCTCTTTCTCTTTGGGCTGCCCCGCCCCTTAATCAACCCAACTAACAGTAAAGGTTATATTAACGTTGATAATCAGTTTCTGTATGTATCTAGCCAGAGTCTGGAAAAAAAAATCAGAAAAAAAAATCAAAACGGTTTTATTCAATTGTGCAAATGTGTTTTTCTTACTATTTTTAATGTTATTACATCTTCTAATCTAATCCTTCTACCATTGCTTCAGTTAGTACTGAAATACGCTTAGCCAACCTAGAGATTTGAACTGTAATGATTGCGATTTTCCTTACCTGTATTTTATATGGCATCTTTAGACCACCGTTTATTATGTACGTAAGTAAATATTGCCCATTTTTTCGAAATGAAAATCGTTGTCTGCACTATGTTATGATTTTCATAATATCCCTGATAACAATTTCATGTTCGACTCATTATCAATCTAAGCTGAACTCTGCGCCCTTGCACAAAGCAGCAAAATGTCTCTTGTAAACACCTGAGAACCAAAGTACACCTAGCATCCCCCGTATACCCCCGATAAAGCCCCCTCCCCCACTCCGACATCGACGGTTTGCCCCCAGAGTAACAAGTTTTCTGATGAATATATATATATATATATATATATATATATATATATAAAAAAATGACATTGCAGCACGTGTGATTTATCTGACAAAGTCAAAGTGAGGTAGCTGTGTTTTTAAGTGGGGAGACAGACAGACAGGGAAGGAAGGAAGTGTGTTTGTGTTGACTGAGTGAGCGAGTAGGCAGATTTGGACATGTGACCAAGTGTTTAGGCATTGTTGGTGAATTCCCCAGCTCCTGCTCACACTCAGTCGCATCTTCTTCCATTGAGTGAATTCAGGCTGCGTGAACTACTGCACACGCTCAGATCGACACTAATACACAGGAAGGAACAACACTCGACAAATATGCTTTCTGTCACGCTGGGGTTTTGGCGCCCTCTTTTGCGTTTTTGTTTTTTTTTTACATGTAATTGTTGTGCTCTCTCAAAAATGCCTTCTAACGCCCCAGACTCAGATCGACAGAGCAACTCATTGCTGTACTAAGCTTCTTCATACGTGGGCACGGAGGCTGCTGAAAGTGGATGAATTCTCCTCAAAACACAAATCTGAGATTACTTGGTGTCCTGATAGATGTCATAGTGCAAGCAAGAAATAATTCACCTGTATGAGGATGAAACAACTAGTCTACGAATAGATTAGAACTTAACTTAACTTCCAGCTTTTCTTTAAGATCTGAAACGATTCATCAATTAACCAATTAGTCGATTGACCAAAAACAAACTGACAAAATCAAAAACATGGCTTATGGAAATTTTGACATTTTCTAGACTATACTATGAGTTTGTTAATTGGGAAAATAATCGTTGCAGCCTTAAAACACTCAACAGATTACAATCCATCGCTTTGAGCTTTTATGATCCATAAAAAAAATGTATTTCCAGTTTCTTGTCTTGTCTGGATCGCAGCTGATGTGTCTTGAGGAAAATTCATCTTCTTTGTGACTGATGATGAAATGATACGAGTTATGATAGAAGCATCCTGCCTCGCTTCCTATCAAATGGGAGCGCCTCTGTAGAGCTCGGCAATGTTAAAGAGAACCAAAAGTCCCAGAATAGAAATGTACTATGTTGTATTGTGGAAGTCAAACAGTATTATTGTCTGTCATACAGAATGTGGAAAGGAGTCATCCGTTGTGTTGTACCTGTTCTGATATATTTGCAGGATTCTCACAGCATTTTGTCCAGTTTGAGCAAAGGTCCCTGATCTGTCAAGTCTCTCTCTACACTGCCACCCGCCAACCTCAACAGCCCCCCAAACTCCAGTATAATCCCACCCCCTCACAACCCTCCAACGGCTGAGTCCCAGTAAGGGGCTCAAGTTGATCAGTATGGGCTATTGTCATGTTGGTCAACTGTGCCCTCAGCCACGAGTGTACCGATGCATGTACCCAGGGCCACCCGAAACTACCTGTGCAGCAAAAAGGGTTCAAATTGATCCATAATACTATTGTTATAGAAATATTATCATCATTATTGCTTTTATAATTATGGTTGGTATAATTTGTCATCATTGTTAGCATTATGGAAGCACCGGACAGTTTGTGGAAAGACAAGAGAAGAAAAAAAAGAAAGCTTTTTTTTTTTTTTTAATTTGTCTGGCTGTTGGTGGTCTGATCTCACTCACAGAGGGAGGGGAGGAATGGTTCAGAAAGAGACAAAGATGGCAGTCATGTTTGTACTGGTTGGGAAATGACTTACAGTGCTGAAATAAAATTTATTCTTTTAGTAAAAAAAGTATTTCTTGTGTCCGGTGTCTTGATTTTTTTAAATTTACTTTGGCTTTGATTTAGAAAGATTAGACGCCAGTATGCTCACTAACATTATAAAAGCAAAGACACCATTATTTGAAATGAGCTGAACACCAAATTGTGATTTGAATACGAGTGGAGGCAGATATATTCAGATCCTTTACATAAGTAAAAGTACCACACTGAAAATACAAGCAAAAGTATGTACGTATAATCTCAGCAAAATGTACTTAAATTATAACAAGTATTCCCCGTGCTCTGTTTCTAGATTAATAATAATGTTGCATATTTGTTGAACTTTACTGTTATTTTAACTCATGTGCATGCTAGGGTGTGTTTTTATTTACAACAATGCACGTTCTGTGACAATCATGTTTATAGTGTCGCTATACTGAGAACCACGTATAAAAAGTAAACTTCATGTTTCAGCTATTACCTAATTAAGTTCTGCATTAAAAATATCACCCAATATACTTGATATATGGTCTGTGTGGCTTGTTGGGGCAGTTTGCACTTGAAGTCTCGTTCTGTGCGCTCCCTGAGCCTTTATAGACCGTAAATCTCGCGATATTTAGGCATGCCGGCAGGAACCACTGAAAGATCTCGCTCCACTGGGAAAGATGGCTGGTGGGTGATACACAGAATCCCCTGGGCTCACATGAAGGCTTGAGGTGAACCCATGGGTGACCTGCTCCCAAAGAGAAGACGAGCAAGAGTTAGGGTAAAGTACCTTGTGACAAGATGAAGAGAAAATGTTGGCCGGAATAACTGAAGTTTGGCCGAACTGTTAGTAGTAAATTTGTATGGCTCAATTAAATCAGCGTCCATGATGAAACAGTCAGAAGTGCTAAAAAAAAAAACGCTATTGCTGTGTACTTATCTTACTATTTTTATTCTTTAAAGGTCACCATCCAGCTTCCTACTCATCCTACCCATCGCTAACACCCACTTCTTAACATGGCAGCTTTAGTCCCCCATACTTTCAGCTTGCTAGTTAGTTGCACACGGCCCCCTAGAGTCTAGATTCGCCACTGACACGAGCGTGACGTAGCGAGGCCTCGTTTGGGGGGTGGTCACGTGATATTTTTTGGCGTGGTGAAGCGAGGCATCGAAACATCTCGCTGCGATACTTCTGTTAGGAAAGGTCGACACTTAGTGTACGAGTATATGCTGCATTGAGCGGAACATCACCAACCGTTACTGGTACAGATCAACCACTTGGGAGCTGCGCGCGAAAGACTGATGTGACAGCAGGACTGAGAGGTCGAGAACCGCCAATTCCAGCTAGCTGTCAGCTAGCTTGCGAACACTATTGGGCTAGCTAGCTGGCTAGCTCACTTCAAAGGCTGGTGCTGCAAAGCCAAAATTAAATACCTCGTGACACGTTTTAGTTCTTACTAATTTAGTAGATATCGTAATGTCAACAAGCGCTTATTTGATGAGCAGCTAATGGTAACTAGCTTAAATGGCTGAGTTGGTGTCCGGGTTAGCCTGTTAGCCTCACCTGATGTAGGATACAAGCTAAGAAAATGTTAGCGGTCGCTCAATGATTGCTGTTTTAATATTCGTTGATGTCGAGGCCAGTTCGTCACGTCCTGGCCCCCTTTACAACATGTCTTTCTTGTTCCCTAGGCAGTCGTCTGGCCCTGGAGACACTCCTCAAGGACAGGAAGCCTTTTGAGAAATAGGCTACATCATTTGAGGATTGGTCACCTCTCCTGTCCTCTCACATCCTATTCCTTTAGTCGTGTCCTTGTCCGACATGTTTAAACAGATAGAAGGGGACTCAAATGAAAGACCTTCAATGATTTGGACTCAACGGATGAAAGGGGAGCTGTGGGATGAGGTAGTAGTTTGTATAGTTTTAGGATCACACCAGATCTGGGAGATAACTATACAGCCTACTGTCTTTCTCACGGCATCCTAAAACCCTCTCCAGCATATCCTTGTTCAGTTGCCACGGTGACTTAATAAGCCTCTGTTGCCATTGGTGACCGACAGTGCTCCTAAATTACATCATGAACATAGGATTAATTTAGCTCGTTATATTCTGCTGTCCTTGTTTTATCAGAAGACAACACCTGTATCATGAATTCAGTATTTATATTACTTAAGTTTCTCAGCTGTAGAAGGAGAATCCTGAGGTATTGGATATTAAGATATTTGTAAAATTCTTGACATTATTGCTATTTAATAACCTCCCTGGGCCGGATTTACAACGTCCCAGCGCAGACGTGTCTGTAGCTGTGCTGTGGTGAGGTAGTAAGTTGTGTTGTTGTGGGGTGTTGGGATATTTGCAACCCCTAATTTGGAGATACAACTATACAACTTACTGCCTTCCACAGCGTGGCAGCATAATTCACTGTGTTCCAGCTGCTGCGCGTGTGTGTCAGATTAATCTGCAGATTATTTTCTTGATTAGTTCAGTCTATAAAATGTGTATAACCAGAGCCCAGCATGACACCTTGTTTTTTCTCACCAACAATTTAAAACCCCAAAGTATTCAGTTTACAGTGATATGAAAAAGCAGAAAATCCTGACATTGGAAATTTTGAAACCAGAGAAGTGTCTTTGTTTGAAAATGACTGAAATCATCAAAAGATTGTCTAAATAGGTGAAACATTCCTCTCATTTGATTAATCATTGCAGCTTTAAACTAAGTATCTGTGGGCTTTGACTATTGGTTGGACCAAAAGAATAATCGCTTCATCAGGAATATAAATTATATATTTTCCTTCTCCTGCTGAGTATGTGAAGATTTGCTGGAAATTGTGATCTATTTCATTGTCATCATCATAGATTCTTAAAGTAATTGTAGAACGTTTGAGGTATTTTAAATGCTGTAATTTTGTATTCACTTTAGAATAAAGGAGATAACAGTTGTACCTCTAAATGTGTTTGTGCTTTACTAAACGTCATTCTGGGACATTTATTTTCAGCCTGAGTGACTCAATTGAAGGAGTATTAACTGAATGATGAAACAGGTTGGACAATATATATAATTATAATATATACATATATGTATACTAAAATAAGGAGATAGATAGATAATGTAATGTACCAGGTTTTAGAAAATTCCTTATTTTCCACCCTTATTCCCTGGGAAGGTAGGTAGAATAATAGGTAGGTAGAATAATAAAATAGTAATGTACAATTCTGAGATACTTCACTTAAGTATTTCCATTTTCTGATACTTTATACGTCTCCTACATTTTAGAGGGAAGCATTGTACCTTTATATTATATTTAATTTAACTGACCTTGCAGACTCAGATTAATAACACATTTTAATTAACAGATAAATCATGATGTAATATTATAGATTAAGATACAACTTTATTGATCACTGGGGGCACATTCACAAGCTACCCAGCAGTAGGTTATATAAAGCAATTAAAATTAGCTCCACATTCCCAGCATCAACATTAAGGTGACAGTGCAACAAATATAATTCAGTAATATAATATGTATAATTCTGAAATGGGCTATTCTCCATTATAAGTACTTTTACTTTATATTTCTCTGCTAAAACGTTTGTACTTTTAATACCATTTGAATGCATGACTTCTACTTGTATAGGAGAGTGTTTCTTCAACGTCGTATTTTAAGATCTAAGTACTTCTTCCACCGCAGATAAGTCAGTAACCAAGACAAAACCTGATGAACTTGACATATTAAACTTCCTGAAGAGTCGCCTGAGCTGACCTTGTTGAGCAGCAGAGTGTCTGTGATTGGACATCATCCTTCATATCCCAGAGCAGGCGTTCCCTCATACGCTCGCCCATTGGTCAAAACAGACGTAGGCGAGGCTTAAAAGCTAAAGTCGTAAAATGAATGACATAACTCTCACACTTGCTGTACTATAGTATTATACTGTCCTTATAAGTAAGAACCCCACTAACAACAGGTCCGTTGTTACGGTTATTCTTCTTCTATTGATTCCATAGTTTTATTTTGTTTTGTTCTTTTTTATTTCAATTATAATTCATTATTTTTGTTTTATCTCATTTTTATTCAGTTTTTTATTGTTAATTAATTTATTTAAAAAAAAATGTTTTCAATCAAATTAAATGAATCCGTGCTTCAACATATCAAGTGGTAGCTCCTACTATCCACGTGCAGGGTGTGCTGGTGCAGAACTACATATCCCAGTGAATACATCTTATATTAAGAAAATAGTATCAGACCGTCTCCCCACCAGGGCTATCGGCTGTATTGTGAACCCTTTACTATACCCTATAAAGTGACATTATTTAAATAACCTAAAATAGTGTTTCTTCCTGAATAATCTCTTGTTAATCACTCCAGTCCAGCTGGTGGCGGTAATGCAGCACTAAACTGGTTTAACGACCCCGATTAAACACTAAAGAAGAAGAAGGTGATCCATTCATAAACCAACATGGCGAACATTCGGTGTGTCAAGGTGAGGAAAGAAAAATAAAAATCTCCACACTGCAACACTTACATGACTTACAACACATATATGACGCGTTACACTTGTTAGACGCCTGTGTTGGGCTTCATGTGTGTGTTTGTCTTCTCCTTGTTCATTTGTTTTCCTCGTAACTACGAAGTTTCATTGTGTAACACAACAGAAGGGAATTAATGAGTCCACACAGCAGCGTGTTTGTCAACCTTTGTCTTCTCGGTTACACTGACATTGGAGACTTTGAGACAAGAGTTTGAAGGTTTAGTCCACAAACATAACGTCGTTGGTCCCTGACATTAGTACTGTCTGCCCAAGTACATCTACTCAAGTGCTCTACGTATGTACAAATTCGAGGTACTTGTACTTGACTTGAGTATTTCTTCTTAAAGCTACTTTACACTCATATTCCACTACATCTTGGAGGGAAATATTGTACATTTTACTGCACTAGTTAGTGTTTTTTTACTTTTCAGATTATATCTTTCATCCCCTTCCTGTGCATTGAAAACCATGTTTCTCTACATGTGTGGTTGTTGAATGTCTGTGATAAACTGAAGGAAGTCCTTTATGTGTTGAGTACATTCTCCTACTTCTTAGGCTAGATAAACAGCTGGAGAATGCATCGTCACAAATCTGAAAACAGGGCTGTTTATTCTGAGTTAATGACAAGTTTACTTTTGAGAGATTCTCACAGGAAAGCGACACACACAAGTTTTGTTTACATTCAGTGCTACTCACCAAAATGCATAGTGTATTCTTGAGGTATAACAGACGTGTCAAGTACATTTCCCCTTAAGTTAAATATTTTTTAGAAGTACTTTAACCCCAGTATCAGGTACATACGTGTGTACTATCTGACTAGCTCCATAGAGCTACCAGAGGTCTGAAACTCTACACATTTAAGATGAAGGTTTAGAGACCAACTAAATAATTAAAAACACGTTTTCAGTGACGTGAAAAAGATCCATTTGAAAAGATTCAGCAATAACTAATCCATAGATTTCACTAGTTCCAATGACAACAGTATGAACTGGAAAGGTGCACTCAGTAGACTGCATGTCTCTGCCAGCTGTGTCTGCGAGGACCACTGCTGTATTGTGTGATTGAATGAATACATCCCAAATACATGGCTCTAAAGTATCATATAAGACATTTCACAACAATTAAACTGACTAAGCTGTCTGCCCGCGTCACAGCCGCTGAGTGGCGGCGATGTACTCTGCACTGTGCGTATTGGTAGTTCCGTTAGATTTTAGCCAAACACATCGTCCAAAACACTAAAAGTGAGCGCGTTCAGCTGTGTTTTCTCTAGCGGGCAAAAAGAAAGACAAAAAAAACCCAGCATATTATAATTTAGGTTTTAGGGGTTTTTGTGAAAATTTCTCTTTGTAACTGGTGTTAGTATTACTACTTATACATTTATATTTATTACTCTGGTTTGTTTTCTAATGATATTGTTATAATCTTTGAGCAATCTCTGGCGGAAGAATTTCCTTCGGCATTAATAAAGTTCTATCTTGTCTTCTCTTTAAGTTGATTGACTCATCAATTAGTTGTCTAATCATTTCAGCTCCACAAACAGTTACCACTTGAGTAATAATAATCTTTACTTCCTATCTGTCAAACTCCTAAATGATGAAGTGATACCTCTGCTTTTTTAATCAATCAGCAATTGTGATCTTTTTTTCACCCGTCTTTCTCAGTGACCCATGTTTTTTCCTGTGTTTTTATATCCTGTACTACCCTCCACCCTCTGGTGCGTCCATGTCCGTATGTGTGTGTCTGTGTGTGTGTGTTTTTGTGTGTCTGTGTGTGTTGTGTCCGTGTGTGTGTGTGTGTTGCGTAGGGTATGGTTGGCCTTGTGACAGGCGGTGCGTCCGGTTTGGGCCGGGCCACTGTGGAGCGTCTGATCCAGAACGGAGCGTCTGCTGTGATCCTGGACCTGCCCTCCTCTGATGGACCGGCTCTGGCAGCCAGTCTGGGGGACCGCTGTGCCTTCTCTCCTGCAGACGTGGGTCCAAAACAATCAATAAACCTGTACATTACAGTTAAAAAAGTTAATAATAAGCTGTTATATTGATTCTTTGCTTCTTTCCTTAAAAAAACAAATTTTAATAGATAAAAACAGTATAATTCAAACACCAAATGTAATTTTATATTTTATATATATAAAAACCCTACACTAACCTTTTATTTCTGTTGTGAAGTTTGAAGAAGAGCTTTGCTAAAGCAGCATGTTTATTCCAGCTGGCTGCAGACTCTATTACTGTTCTTTTGACATTGAAACAGGAAGCTGTTCCTCTTTAAATCTGCAGACATTTTGATGCTAAACTTCCAGATTCTTTAATTAATAACTGGTGATTAATTCTATTCCTGTTGAACTGTTGCTCAGAGGTACCTTCGTCTCTTTCTGCACTTTCAATTGTCTGGTTGAACCATTGTACGGTGTTTTGTTCTCCATGTACAGAACAAACCCTTCATACAGAATAACATCTATTTTTAAAGAGGATTACAACCTGAAAGCATTAAAACATATCGAGCAGACATCTGACAGTTAAGATTTTGTGGCACGTGATTACAAATTTCACACAAAAAGTCTCTTAATTCTTTCTCACGTTTTTTTTATACAGAAGTCGGTCAATAAGCTGCCTTTTTCCATCGTATCATGAGCAACTGCGAGCTGATTTCTATCGGCGCTATCCTCAAATACACTGAGTTTCCTGTGATTCCTTCACAATAAAAGCCACCTTGTGTTTCAATTTGTTTGATCTGAAGCAGCAGTAGGAAAAGGCTGTGTTAGCATTAGCTGTAGCTTAATCCAGCTCTGATACGGCTGTGGAAGGAGCAGTTAACAGTGAAGCTGATACCATGAAGATAAAAATATAATTATTAAACCTGGATTACATGCATGCATTGTGTCCTTGTAATCCCTTCTGTAATTAAATACCTTGAATCCAGTGCGGGTATGGCGGACTCTGCCACTGACTATAAAAACAACTATATAGACTGTTACAGTATAAATAAAGTAAGTAAGTAAATACACTGAGACGCTATTGCTGAAAAAACATAAAATCTTTAAGGATAACTTTCATGGGAAGATATAAAATCTGTAAACTTGTGAAAATGTACTAATTGCTCTTGTGGGAACTGTAAGAGAAACAAAATACAGATCAAAGCTGCAGCTGTAATTTGAGCTCTAAAATGATGCTCTGAGCTCAGCAGATGGCACTCACACATCATCCAACATAATGAGTAGTGCATGTGATACATGTTGACCCTCCACATTATTTATGCCAGACTTTCCTCTACTTGCTGGATGCAAATTGAGCCAAAGAACCGGTCTCTATATTTGGGGCATTTACACGCGTCTGCTCGGTGATATTTACATCTCAGCCTTCTCATTCCTCAGGTGACATCAGAAGCAGACGTGCAGTCGGCGGTGACCCTGGCCAGAGAGAAGTTTGGGAAGCTGGACCTGGCAGTTAATTGTGCCGGCATCGCTGTCGCCGTTAAAACGTATAACTTTAAGAAGGACCTCCCTCACAGCCTGGAGGACTTCCAGCGTGTAATCAATGTAAGGATGTAGATCAGTAGAAAAATGAATACCAGTCGCAGCTGTGTGACATCTCCAGTGCAGGAATGTAACTAAGTTACCTAAAGCTCTGTACTTCTGAACATATTGAAAGTACTTGTGCTTTACTTGAGAATTTGCTTTTTATGCAACTTTATTCTTCTACTAAATCATAGAGGTAAATCTTAATATATTTTTACTGCATTAGATTTGTTCGACAGCTTTAGTCACTTTTCAGATTATGTTTTTAATCTATGTAATATGTAGCTCCAGACGTGTTGAGGAACTGAAGGATTAAATGTTCCACTATGTGTTGAGAAAATTCTCTTACTTCTTAGAGACTATTTAACTAAATAAACTATTTAAAAATCCTCCTGGATCAGTTGGAAAATAAGTCACAAAGCTGAAAACGTTATTCTGAGCTCATGAAATGTTGACTTTTTAGAGATGCGTGGTTCTCACGGGACAGTGACTCCACAAACACGTGATGATCTTATTGAATATGATGCATTACTGCAGATTTAACTACCCAGCAGTATATAAAGCAGTTAAAATGACCACAATAACATCTGTGTGTTTTCTGCAGGTGAACATTGCAGGAACTTTTAATGTGATTCGTCTTGCTGTGGGTGCGATGGGGAAGAACGAGCCGGATGCAGATGGACACAGAGGCTGCATCATTAACACAGCCAGCGTGGCCGCCTTTGATGGACAGGTCATTTGAAATGAACAAAAAAAAAAAGCATTAAAGACACAACTGAGTGGTCGCTCCATTTCTCCAATTTTTTTTTTGTGCTCTCCATTTCCTCTCCAGGTCGGCCAAGCGGCATATTCCGCCTCTAAAGGCGGTATAGTTGGAATGACCCTCCCTATTGCACGAGATCTGGCACCCATGGGCATCCGAGTCATCACCATAGCACCGGGTCAGTGTTAGGAGTGTAACGGCACACAGAAATCTTGTCCCGTTGAGATCTTATCCCCTACAGTGGTGGAGCAACGCAGACACACCGTCCTTGTCTTATACACAACTCTCTCTGTTGCAAGTGTCCGGGAACCCACAGGCGGCTCTTCCAGCTTTTACTTTAAATGGAGTATTTAACATTGTTGTGTTGGTACTTTGTCTCGAGTGCATGATCCGAGTTAACTTAAGATCTGAACACCACATAAGGATATTTCCTTGGTGTATACATCTCAATGTTCTGTCTCTTTCGTCCTCCAGGTCTGTTCTCCACTCCCCTCCTGGCTGGTCTCCCAGAGAAGGTGCGCTCCTTCCTCGCCCGCCAGGTGCCCTTCCCCTCTCGCCTGGGAGACCCCGCTGAGTTTGCCCACCTGGTGACATCACTGGCTGAGAACCCCATGATCAATGGAGAGGTCATCAGACTGGACGGAGCCATTCGCATGCAGCCCTGAGACGGATGGTGTGTGTGTGTGTGTGTGTGTGTCCACGTTAACAAAAAGGTGTTGATCGTCACCTTCGTCGAATTAAGAGAACATTTTTATGTCTGAGTGTTCGTGTGTGTGGCTGCCTGGTGCAATAGTGTTGTAGAAAGCTGCATACAGTGAGAGAGTGTGTAAAATATCTGTACATCATTCAGAGCATTGCAGTAGTTTATGCACTCAACTTTGGTTGTTTTGTAAACAAATCCAGATTATAATAAACCTCCAGATGAGTTTGATTATCTTTTCCAAGAAGTTTTTTTTTGTTTTAAAAGTAGAATTTTATTTCAGCATCTTTCAAATCTTCTTGAACCAGAAGTTTGATCTTTAGAAGAAATTAGGAACTTTGACCTCATGCAAAAACATTTTTCTTAATTTTCTCTTGTGGGAAGAAATAGCTTCAGGGATTATCCTGTACCAATTATCACCAGATGAGTTCTATGGACTGAAAGAACCTTTAATGGTGCACACTCTTGTGATGCTTTATTCTACTGCAGCATTCTGCCTTATTCTGTCCTGAAAATACAAACACTCCATTTACGTGACAAAGTGGTGGTGTTTGACCTGGAAATGAGTACGGGCAGCACAGCCTGGTTATTGGCTGGGGTCCTAGTGCTCAGAAGAGTCCCGAACACGGAAAGAATAATAAGAAAAGAGAAAGCACAGGCAGAGGGCAGGGTCTCTCACCACACTATTCTAGTGGTTCATAAGTGATGATTGAGAGAGATTATTTTTGTATCAGTCTATTGTTTTTTAGAGTTTTAGACAAAAACATGACATCACTGCATCAAGTTACAAACAAACAGTTCCAATATACAATCATACATAAACTTACAGGTGGAAAAAATTCATAAGGAAGGGAGAAGAGTAAAGTAGAGAATGTGATGTGTTTGGAGGAGGGGCTCTTATCATTTAGTGAAGTGAGCACTTCCTGGTTTGTCAGTGAAGACTGAAGAGAGGCCGCCTTAACCATCAGAACCTCAAACATGGACGGTCGTCAGACTTTGATCTGCTTCTTCTTTTTCAGTGAGTACGCTGACTTTCCGTTTCTATCACTCTTATTTTACGATGTTATTTCTTTCAGTCGGTCAGTTAAGCTTTGCAGGAAACGGTTTCTATGAGTGAAATGTGTTTCATCACATCTCATATCAGTTCAAGACATATTGTTGCTTTCTGTAGTTAAACAGGATGATTGGAGTTAGTATGAGTCACTCAGTGATGGGGAACTAAGATCTTGAAATACTATAAATAACACTGTAGAAATATTCTGTTACAAATAAGAGCCATACACTCAAACTTTTACTTAAGTACTTAATCTAAGTCTGCAGAGTAACTAAAGGTATGAAATAATTGTGGCGTAGAAGCAGTAGCAGAAAATAGAAATGAAGTACCTCAAAACTGCACTTACAGTACTTGGAAAATGGGAATTAATACCGTAAAATTGCACATAAGTACAGTACTTTGGTAAATGTACTTAGTTACTTTCCACGAGTCACCAGTTCGTCACTTTGACATGACATCAAAAGTACTGGTGACTTCAACAAAATAAACTTTAAATCAAGAAAGAAATGAAATGGTCAAACTTCTAAGTAACTCTGACTACAGCTGCAGATAGTTCAGTAGAAAATAAATTCTGGAAAACAAGCTGCATCCATTGGATGAGTTGGGATTGTCGGAGCCATTAGTTATGTCTGTGTATTATATGTTTGAATTAGGAGCCTATCTCAGGTTGACCACGGGTGGCAGTGTGGAGTATTGTGGCAGGTAATTAATATATGGGGCACAGGTGCAACTGACAGGTAATGAGGCATGGGTGACGGGGAGATCGCACGGTTTTTACCGCAAGCCAGACACACCAGAGGGAGACCAGGAAGCGAAGTGATATCAAGTTCTATTGTCAATTGTGAACTCTAATTAAATGGGAACCTCACCCAAAGATACGCAAAGCCTGGAATCTTTATGTCGAAGCGAGTACGAAAACACGATCTTCTCCCGCACCCAGCCGAGTGGCTAGTTACAGGAATCAGTCACTAGAGGGATCAATTAAATCGATCGGCATAAAGTCTTTGTTTTCATTAATAAACCTCTCATTCAATAATGTTTGTGCATCCAACAAATACCGTACAGTAAACGTGTTCAGAAAGAAGACAAAGCTCATTTTTGACTTTTTTCATCTGTATCAGTTTGACTGTTTGTGTTGATTCGCACCAAACAGTCAACGTACCAACGGGGTGTGTGTGCGTGTCTCGTCAGCTCAACCTCTTAATGAACTCAGCAAAACAATGAAATAAAATGAAAAGTAATTACATCAAACTGTCTAACAAATTCTTATAAACAACAAAAGTAATCAACATAAATAAATAATACATCTCCGAGAAGGAGTAGGAGTGAGTATACACTTTTATGGTCTTAGCTCTTCTTCACAACTCAAACTATTAACTCAATATTTATCATATAAACCTTTGTCACTGGTAGCCTATGTTCTTTTCTTTTATTATTTCTATTCTAAACTGGGTAATGAAGTCATATCTTTCATTGAGTTGTCCACATTTAGATATAAACAATACTATTTTTCAGAAAAATATGTTGTACATTTTTTAATCTTGAAGACTATGAAAGTTTTTTTCTTGTATGTTTATTTTTGTCGTAAATGCCACTTTAATCCAGAAAATTGTTTTTTTCTTCTAAATGTATGACTTTGTTCTCTGAGTTTTTATTATTATTATTATTATTATTACCCCAAACTCTGTAATAATTATATTTTTCCTGCTTAGAATGCTTAAAATCTTGGTTGAAAGAATCCAAATTAAATTATTGTTGTATTAAATTATTACCCCTCAGTCACAGAGTTGAACTGGGTAGTTTATCTCAGTAGAGGAAGGGAAGTCTAGATA